ACCCCCTCTCTGATCCTTCACTTTCCCCAGCATGAAGTCTTGTTCCAAAGACGAGCCCTTCCTGACAACATGCCCGAAGTATGCAACACAAACTTTTATTATCCTCCCGTCTAGGGAGTGACCTGGCTGTATCTTCCCTGGGACAGGCTGTGGAGTGTCCTGGGTGTATCTCCCCCGGGACAGGCTGTGGCGTGTCCTGTCTGTTCTCCCCTGGGACAGGCTGTGGCATGTCCTGTCTGTATCTCCCCTGAGACAGGCTGTGGAGTGTCCTGTCTGTTCTCCCATGGGACAGGCTTGTTTACTCATTTGGCAGTCCACGGGATAGTCAATCTCTCTCCAACAACACAAGTCAAGCATGGATTTCTCAGCAATCCTTCTTCATTGTCAGCTTTCAGATACATAGGAAGCAATGGAAAAACCATGCCTCGGAGCAGGTGCACTTCAGTCTTTAAATGGAAGTAGTTTTCTGTAGCACTTTAAGGAGGCCCTGACAGCAGATTTTCCCCAGTGGAGCATATCTTCTGATTTGATTGCTGCCACAGTGGGTGTTGACTGTGGATCCAAGAGAAATGGAAATTGAGCACAACTTCCATCTTTTCTCCATCTACCATGATATTCTTGTGGCCTGGTGGCAAGAAGCTGTGCTGCAACCCTAAAGGCACATGGTTCGAATCCGCCAGCTGCTCCGTGGGAGAAGGATGGACAGTCTCCTCCTATGTGGTTAACTGCCTGTGAAAACCTACTGGACGGTCAGCTGTGGTTTGGTTCTGACTCGATGGCAAACAACCACAACCACAATATTGCCAATTGGCCTGTCTAATGGTAAGGACTTTTGTTTCTTGATGCTGAGATATAATCCACATTGAAGGCTAAAGTCTTTGATATTCTGCAGCAAGTGTTTCAAATCTCCTTCACTTTGAGCAAGCAAGGTGTGACATCTGCATAACACAGGCTGTTGATGAGTCTTCCTCCAATCCTGAAGCCATTCTTCTTCATAGGACTCAGCTTCTCAGTACACAGACTGAAGAGGGATGGAGAAGGAACAGAACAGCAACACACAGCTTTCCTGATTTTAAACTGTTCTCTTGTTCTGTTTGGACAATGCCTCTGGGTCTAGGTTTCCTGTGGGCATAAGGAAGTGTTCTGAGAGTATCATTCGTCTCAATGTTAGTCATAATTTGTTATGATCCATGGACAACCTTGTGATATTCTCTGCTTTTTGCCAAGTTCCATCTGACATCAGCAATGATATCACTTGTGCCACAGACTCTTCTGATCTCAGCTTGAATTTCTGGCAGTTCACTGTCAATGCACTGTTTCAATCATTTTCCCGTAAATAATATTCAGTAAGATTTTATTTGAAGATGGTATTAATATTGTTCCATATTTTCCACACTCTATTTATCACCTTTGTTTGGAATGGAAACGAACATGGATCCCTTCTCGTCAGTTGGCCAGGGAGCTTCCCGCAACTTTGGCATAAGCTAGTGAGCGCAGCCCAGCTGCGTCCGTTCGTTGACACCTGCCAGCTGTTATTCCGTCAATTCCTGGGGCTTCTTCTTTGCCAGTGTCTTCAGTGCAGCCTGAATGTCTCCATTACTGTTGGGTTTTGATCAAACGCTGCCACCCGAAACGGTTCTGCGTCACCCAGCTCCCTGGTCCAGTGATTCTGTGCACTCCTCCCATTTTCTTTTGATGCTTCTTGCATCTTAAACAGTTTGTCCATGGAATCCTTCAGTATCTAGTCTCAAGGCTTGAATTTGTTCTTTTAGCTTGAGAAGTGCCAACTGTGTTCTTCCCTTTTGGTTTTCTAACTCCAGCTCTTTGCTCATGTTGTTATGATAATTTCTCTAGTCTTTTCTAGTTTCTCTTTGAAATCTTCTGTTCATCTCTTTCACATCATTATTTCTTCCCATGTTTTAGCTTTTCTACATTCTAGTACAATTTTCAGAGTCTCTTCTGCCAATCCTTTTGGTCTTTCCTTTCACCCCTGTCTTTGTACCTTTGCTCTCTTCATGGATGATATGCTGGATGTCACCTCATGACTAATCTGGTCTTCAGTCATTAGTGTTGCTTTTGTTGTTGATTGCTGTGAGTCGAGCATGACTCATAGTGAGCCTATGAACAAAAGGTCTGAAGCCTTTCTATAACTACTGACATTTATCAAAGTTCACAGAGTTTTCAGAAGCATGTTGTTCAGCAAGTGGATGCCGCTCCTGCTTCCCAACCTGTCCTAAACTGGGAGCTCCACCAAACACTGTCCACGTTTTGGCAACCATTATGACATCTGACACCCAATGGCACAAGGTTCAGCATCACAGCAAGCCCAAGTTACCTCAGTACAGCATATTGACAGAACAGTGCTGTACCACTTAGAAGAATGTTTCTCCAAAATAGAATAACAACTGACTTTAAGTACAAAGGCTCTCCTGGGTCTTGTTGACTCTAAACAAGAGGCTTAAATAAAAACAACCAACATAGTACGTTGTTGTTACGGTTATGTGCTGTCTAGTTGCCTGTCACGTATAGCAACCCTCTGTACAGCAGCTCTGAAGCTTATCCTGTCCTGAGCCAGTCTCACTAATTCCTACACATCAAACCCCATTGCCCCAGATACTCTATCAATCCATCTCATCTGAGGTCTTCCTCTCCTGCGCTGTTCCTCTACCCTTCCCAGCATGATGTCCTTCTCCAAGGACTGATCTCTCCTGGCCATGTGCCCAAAGTATGTGAGACAGAGCTTCAAAATCTTAGCCTCCAAGAAGAAACTTGGTTTCACCATCTCTAAGACAGAACAATTTGTTTTCTTGGCAGTCCACTGTATGTTCAAGACTCTTCTCCAGCACCACAACTCAAAGGCATCTGTTCTTCCATCATCCTTAGTCATTGTCCAGCTCTCTGAAGCATAACAAGTAATTGAGAAGACCATGGCCTGGATTAGGTGCACCTTAGTATCCTGACTGACATCGCTGCTCTTCAGCACTCTGGAGAGGTCCCTGACAGCAGATTTTCCCAATGCAATTCATCTTTTGGTTTTTTGACTGTTGGTGTTAAGAGAGTTGATTGTGGATCCCAGCAAGCTGTAATTGCTAACAACCTCAATCTCGTCTCCATCTACAATGGCATTGAGTGAATTACATTTATCCAGTTTTTAAATTCATGTGGGATAGACTCAAAGTTGTATTGTGGCTCTTGTGAAGCTGTTTTCATTTTCTTCAGTTGCCATGTGAACAGGCACATGGGTAATTTCTGGTTGGTTCCAGTCAGCTCCCAGTCTGGTTTTGACTGCTGACATTGAGCTTCTCCATACACTTTTTCCAAAAATGTGGTTACTCTGATTCCTGTCTATTCCACCATGTGAAGTGTATGTGTATAACTGCCACTCATGACAGAGCCGGCTGGTATAAAAACACCTGTCCTTTTATGCCAGCCAGAAGCATGAGCGTCATCCCAACGTGAATGCGGATTCCCTGCGAACGACAAATACCTTGTGGACGTGTTCCAGCTTGTCCGGTGGTTTCCACTCTTGATTCAATCAAAGAAAGAATTTGACCTGAAAGAGAGAGTCATATAAAGAGACCTAAGCAGCATTTATAACCTCACTGTGACGTGAGAGCCCGTCCCACAACCTCTTTAGCAGAGGTCCCTGAGATGTGGGGAGGGGGTATCTGAGGTGCCATCCGAGAGTGCAGTGAAGCTCGGGCATGAGAACGAGTTCGGGATCAAGTGCAGCTGACGGGTTTTTCTCAGTACCTGCTACCTGCCAGGGGCTGCTCCAACCACTTGTAGAGGAACTAGGGAACTTAATATAGGCCCTTAACGGTGCAGAGGGAGCTCTGGTGGCCTGTGCTAAGGAATTGTGCTGCCAATTCAAAGGCAGGCAGTTCAAGTCCAGTAGCTGCTCCGAGGGAGAAAGATGGGCAATGTCTTCCTGGGGGATTTACAGTCTGGAAAAACTGCTGGAAGGTTAGTTATGATTTGATTCTCACTCAACATCGTGTAACAACAGTGGATTAAGGACTGAGCTGCTAAATGAAAGGTCCTCCGTTTGAGCCCAGCAGTTACTCTGCGAGAGGAAGATGAGGCAGGCTGCTTTCCTTAAAGATTTACACCTTGAGGGGCGGCTCTGCTCAGTCCTCCAGGGCCCTGGATATAGCAGTAGGACTGAATCTTCACAATGACCCCATGGTCAATCCTGTTATACAGATGAGGAAACGGAGTCAGAGAGAAGGTAAGGAACCTGCCCAGAGTCCAACAACTAGCCAGTGAGAGACACAGGGTGTGGACGCAGGGAATCCGCAGCCAGCAACGAGGACCTGGGCCCTCACCGTGTAAGAAGCAGGAGGAGAGCTGGCTACTGCGTGGGCCAGTGACAAGGGAGTCATCTCCCCACGCGCGTCCACTGTGGGGTCGTAGACCTCTGCAGGACTGTCCAGCAGGGCTTTCCCCCCATTGCACACCCAAGGAGAGAGGACTACCCAGATCAGATGGCTTTCCCAAGAGGGAACCCTGATTCTGGCAGGTACCTTTCACCAATCAGCTTGTCAACCATTTGTAAGGTACACCAGGTCAGCCATTGGAGGCATCAGGGAGCTGCGAGGGCAGCAGGGCAAACGTGAGACTCTGCTGGTGGGAAGGTCAAGCCTTGGGCATAGACAGCTGGGACCCAAAGCCTGGGCGTGTGATATCCTCCGCTCCACGCTCCCCATGCCAGGCCTGTGATGAGTGGGGAGGGGAGACTGGCCTGAAAGTGGGAGCCAGAGCCCTCATGAGGGGGCTGTTCCAGGGCTGGGGCTCTGAGGACTGAGAAAGGGATGAGGCTGTTCCCGATCAGCCTGGGGTCAGGTCTGCAGTGCCCTGCCTCAACTTCTGGAGACAGGCTAGGGAGAGAGAGGCGTAGTGATGAGGGGAGCACAAAGCCAGAGCCCCAGGAGACAGTGGACCACCCCTGTCTCTGCCCCAGGCCCACCGCCTGCCACCTGGTACCCGGCGGGCACTCCTTACATCTGGGTGAGGAGGTATAGCTTCATGATGTTTTCCTTCCACTCAGGCAGGTAGGCCAGGCTGGTCGCCACTTCCTTCTTGATGGGCCAGGCCCAGGCCTCGAAGAAAGGCACCAGGTTCTTCTGCACTTGCAGGGAGAACATCTTGACCCACAGGTTCATCTTGTCGACGTTGCTGGTGGGCAGGTTGGTCTGGTTCCGGTACTCGGTGAAGAGGCGGATGAACGGCTCCCAGCCGAAGGCCTCTTGGAGCTGTGGGAGAAGACATGGGGGGTGGCTGAACAGCTGCAGTTGCCACTGAGCACCCCTGACTGTTCACCCGGTACTGGAACTGGAACCCCGGTGCCGGAGGGAAGGAGGCCGCTGCAAGGTCAGTGAGCTGCAGCTGCTTCTCCACAGGAGAAAACCCAGGGACTGCGTCTGTCAAGGCGACAGAAGCGACAGGCGCTTTGGCCTGCCCCCCCCCCCCCCCCCGGGCTGCCACCACGCGCCACAACTGACTCCGTGGCCGTGGGTGGTTGTTTCCAGGACAGACGGGGGACCCGAGGTGCAGGGTGAGAGGGCTGGTCTGCAGCAGGAGCCCCGCCAGCCGTGACCACACACTGCTCCATGTGGTCAACCCTAAGACGTTCCCTTCAAGAGCTGAGCTGTGGCTCTGTGGTGCCTCAGGCCTCCCGCTCTCTCACCACAGGAGGGGCTTGGGGCTGACGGAGAGGCCTGCCCGGAGCAGGTGCTCATCACTGCAGTGACGGTGGCCAACGCTGACCAGGGCTGTTCCCCGTATCTCACCAGCACCCCGTGACATGCTCAGATCCCCCAGGATCAGCAGTGGGCTGACCAGACAGCCCCAGCCCACAGCTGGCCAGGGTGACATCCTATTTGATCATAGGTCCATGATGGTCTGCAAGGAAACTGCGTGGCCTTGGGAGAAGGGCACACAGGGGGCAGCTGTGTTCCAGCCGCTCTCGAGCCAGCCCCTGACCCCCACTGCCCTACGCACAGGGGCTCGACCCCCATGAGCATGAGGCTTGCACGGGACTCGAGAAGTACATCTCAGCCTTCCCTCTTGGTCTGGGGGCTCTGCCAAAATCTGCCCAGCATCAGAGCTGCGCAGCCGTGCAGAGGCCGTGCCTGGCCTGCCCTGGCTGGGGACGGCAGCCTGCCTACGTGGCAGCCAGAGGTGGACAGACAGACGGAGTGCAGCGAGTCTGACACCTAGGGACCCTCCACTGGGTTTCTCAGGCTGTACTTTTTCTGAGGAACAGCCAGTGGATTCAATCCACTGACCTTTCAGTTAGCAGCTTAACACATCACGTGCTGCAAAACGGGGCTCCTGCTGCCACGAGCACAGCCCAGTGGGATATGAGCCCCAGTGCTCCCAACACCCAGGACGCTGCCAGGAGCCATGAGCCACTCACTGGCAATGCACTTGTGTGCCTGGACTTTTCTGAGGACCTGAGGGACGCGGTGGTCCTACTCGGTCCACCCGTGGCTGGACTGGTAGCTGGTGCCATTGGCTGGGGGCCCCAGGCCCCGTTCTCACCATACCCGCCGGGACCCTCTGGCCTGGCTCTCACCATAACCGCTGGGGCCCCCTGGCCCGGCTCTCACTGTACCTGCAGGTAGGTCTCCAGAGCCGTCCAGGCGTTCCAGTTCTTCACGCTGGGGCCCTTGCTCAAGTAGATGCGCACCCGCTTCTCCCGCACTGGGGGCCACAGGGCGATGTTGGCCCGGCCCCGCGGGATGCCCAGCACCGTCTCATGCACATACACGCACCACAGGTTGCAGGTGGCCTCCGTGGTGTGTGGCGGGAACTCCCACTCCTGCCGCTGCTGGTTGCGGCCCAGCTCATGCACCGGCCCCCACAACCCCTTGGCCCGGATGAGCTTCTCGCTGATGAGCTCCTGCACTGACTCCAGGTGGCACATGATGGGGTACCCCGCGTGCATCCAGCCTGTGGAGGAGGGGGAGTTCAGGCCACGCCCCCAGCTCCTGGGTCTCCTCAGGCCTGGCAGCCCCAGGGACTTCAGGGCTCAGGGTCAGCTGTGCCGACCAGGCCCTCCAGTCTCCTCTGATCAGCCCTCAATCCGCTTGCTGACCCAGTGACAGGAGGGCCGCCACGGGGGCTGCCACGTGAGCCCTGTTTCCACGGGCTCCCCCACCACGTGGCTACAGCATGATCACAGGGACCATCAGCCTCCCCCCATCTCCCACGCAGTCCCCTCCCCAGCACAACACCTTCTCTTCCCACGGCTCCTCTGACTAGCTGGGCCACCCGCCACATGCTTCCTAAAGCTGTCCCCTCTGTGCTGACCCTTCTTGATATGTCCTTCCTTTCTTTAAGCATAGATTTCTTTCCTTCCCATTCGAACAGCAAAGTCTGTATCTGTGTGTCGTGTCTTCTATCTACTGGCTGTGGGTGAGGCTCTCAGACCCTGCACGGTGTCCACCTGGACCCCTCGCAGGGTGTGTTTAAGTGAGGCCCCTCGGACAGTGCACACAGCATCCAAGCACCTACCCACTGAGATCTGCACATCAGCGACAATCCTCTGGGGCAGGCGCAGGGGGAGGGGCTCAGCGCCCAGCCTGGCCACGGCGGCCATCACCTCGTCCCAGAGGCGCAGCACGGGCTCAGGGTTCTCCAGGGTGCGCAGGTTGACGGTCGGCAGGGTCAGGATGATGTTGTCCGTCGCGAGCTCCCCCCAGGGCCCTGGGTGCTCCTGCAGGCGCCTCTTCCACTCCTCCTGGGACGTCTCACCTGGAACAGAGGGCGCGGCTTGAACCGCAGAAATGCCAGCCTGTGCCCCAGGAGGAGGGCGAGGCCACACCTGTCCTCTCTCTGGGTCTCCAGGTGCGTGGCTGGGGTCCACTGCCTCTGCTCATCCAGAGCTCCCTCTCCTGGCCCCAGCTCACCCAGCTTGTAGTAGGGGGCGTGCACAGCCCCCTTGATGGTGAAGGGCACCTTGCCCAGATCGCAGCTCTGCGGCACGATGATGTACAGCAGGCCACCCCAGAGGCAGGTGATGGACTTGGTGGGCTTGTCCAGGCAGCAGCGGTTGATGACGAGGGGTGCGCGGAAGAGCTTGCTGGCCCTGGTCAGGTCATCCGTGTGGCATCCAATCTGGATCTGAGTGGAGAGGCGGGGTCACCATGGAGGTATAGAGCGGGGCTTAGAGGTGGGTACCCAAGAGGGTCATGGCTGTTCTCCAGAGGCAGTGGGCAGAGAAGGGGTGCACAAGTGGGCACACAGGAGGGTCAGGGGCTGGCCCTCAGGGACAGTGAGTGGGTGGAGGAAGGAGGCCCAGAGGTGGGCATCCAGGGTAGATAGGTGTCCACCTCTCATAGACTCCCGAAAGTGTCAGGGTAGGAGGTAGGAGGAAGCCCCCCAAACACCTGGGAGTATGAGGGGCCATGTCTCACGTGGGTTGGACTAGGGGTCCTGTGTCCATACCCCAAGGGGCTCAGCAGCCTTAGAGGCTTCCTGTGCAGCATGGAGACAGGGAGAGCTGCCCTGGGTCCCAGAGGCGAGGGCAGGGCCTGCTCCCTATAGCTATGGCCGCCAGGCTCACCTTCAGGTCTGCGGACGCAGCTGACTCAGGCATCGACACCTCTATGATCTGCCTGGAGGGGATGTAGAGCCCGGTGCTCATCCAGCAGTACCTGGTGCCTGCCAACAACACACAGGTGAATCCTCCATGGGGGGGAGGCATCCAGAGGAGCCTCGGGAGAAAGACCTGGCTGTCTGAGTGCCCTGCAGGCACTTCTCCTCATGCGTGGCTCACTGAGGGTCAGTCTTTCCTCGGAGGAGAGCTTGTCCTCCCTCTGCACCCGCCTCAGCAGCCACAGGTGCTGGATGGGGCCTCTCCTCCACCCCAGCATCACCCAGCGACCCGCCTGCACTCTGGAGAGCATCTGGCAAAGGCTGAAGGTGTAGAGGGATGTCCAGGTGGCCTGCTGTGCTCCTGCTTTCCCACCCCCAGGATCAAACGCCATCGCAGTGCCTTGAATCTCCAAACTGCCCATCCCCAAACCTGCGTCCTGATCCTTGGCCCTGCCCACTTCCCTTCAAGCCCCCTACCTCGCCCCCAGGCCTGGGTCCCACCCACATCACCTTCATGTCTTCTCCAGGCTGAGCCTTGACTACACCTGCCCCCAAATCCCACCCATATCCCCTCTCCACGCCCCAGACCCAAGCCCCACCAGCATCCCCACTGGCCCCGCATCCAGGGACTTGCCAGCATCCCCACCCAGCTCCACATCCACATCCCGGGCCCTGCCAGCATCCCATCCTCCGCACCGGGCCCCACATCCCGGCCCGCCTCTCCCCACCTGGGTTGGTGCAGTCCACCTCCACCGTGATTGGCGATTCCGAGGGGCGCAGGTAGGGGCAACTGTAGATATCGTCGATCTCCGGGACCAGCAGGGCCAGGTCGCTGCCCGAGTGCGCCAGGCCGGTGGCCAGGGAGAGCATGGCGCCGCGGCAGCAGTCGTTGATGACCGGGTTCTCGCGCGTGGCCACCGGCAGGCGGTAGCGGCCGAGCAGCTTGCGCAGCAGGCGGTGCACGGCTGTGTAGGCGGGCACACCGTCGGCCGGGATCTGCAGGAAGGCTGCGCCGTCGGGGCCCAGCTTGGCCAGCCAGCCCTTCTCCACGTTGCCGCGCTTGCGGCCCATGATCACCTGGAACTCGGCCAGCGTGGCGCGGAAGTGGTAGGTGCGGACGCCGGCCTTCGGGGTGCGGAAGGGCCCGGGGTTCAGGCTCTGGCTGGTGATGCTGATGCCCAGGCGGTTGAGCAGCAGGTTCCCCGGGAAGCGCGCCAGCGGGGATACGCCCGGGTTCTTGAAGGCCCACCACCAGGCCTGGCCGCCCACCAGCAGCCCGCCGCCCTCGGCCACGAACTCCTGCAGCTCCTGCACGTCCACCTCGCTCGTGGCCTCCATGCAGTAGACGCTGGCGTCGCCGGGCAGCTGGGGCCCCGGGCTCACGTCCAGGCCCGCGCCGGCCAGCAGCCCGCTGAGCGTCCGCATCTCGGGCGGCACCACCACCCTGCCGCGGCGGCCCGCATCCAGCCAGCGCGCGGCGTTGAGCAGGAAGTGGGACAGCTTGGTCACCGAGAAGAGCGCCTTGTGGCCGGTCACCACCACGCGGCCCCGGCCGTAGCGGGCGGCGGCCACCACGCAGCCATGGTAGGTGTCCAGCCCCAGCGGGAAGGCCAGCGCGCCGTGCACCAGCAGCTGTGATGGGAAGCAGTCCGAGTTGGTGATGTCCAGCTCCGAGACCCCACGCAGGAGCTCGTCCCTGTCGTCTGACAGGTCGTCCTCACAGCTGGAAGAGACAGTGCAGCAGAGGGGCTGAGAGGGGGACCCTGGGCGGGAGGTCCTCCCGTGTCCACTCAGTGGGTGCGGGAGTCCCTGGTGATGGACACCTTCAAGGCTGGCAGTGTGAGGTCCTCCCGTGTCCACTCAGTGGGTGCGGGAGTCCCTGGTCATGGACACCTTCAAGGCTGGCAGTGTGAGCCCCCACCCACTGAGGCACCTCAAAAGAAAGGCCTGCCAGCCTGCCTGAAAGTGGCTGCAACTTGACCACGGTAAGGGGCAGGGGTCCCCTGACACACAGGGTCACCTGCCTTAGCAGAGATGACTCTGTGGGCGCCAGCAAGGACTCCCCCGTCAGGGCACTGAGGGACCTGCTGGGCTTGGGGGCTTGTTAAGGGGGAGGCAGCTCACATAGTGGTGCCCCTTCACACCCAGAGCATGAATTCTCCCCCTGAAATCTCTGCTGTGCTTGGCCCCCAGACTGAACCCGCTGCCATCACTCACTGTGGCCCTCTAGGACCTCTTAGGGTTGTCAGAGACAGCCTAGTGGGTAAGGAGCTGCACTGCCAACACAAAGGCACAGGGTTCAAATCCACAGCTGCCCCTCGCCTCCGCAAAGCTGCTGCAGGGTCTGCGCAGAGTCAGTTCCAACTACGACAACAAGCTTTCCAAAGGCAGACGGCCTCCTGCTGAGGAGCAGCTGGGGGTTCAAACCGCCAACCTTTGGGTTAGCAACTAAGTGCTTAACCACTGTGCCACCAGGACACCTCAGCCTTGCTGACTCCATGCTCGGTTTCATGTCCACTTCCAAAATCCAGCCACACTGTCTGATCCACAGCAGTTCCGGGATGGTTCGGGGTGGGCGGTGGGCACAGTAAGATGGGGCACTTGGCGGCTGCTAGCAGCCTGCTGGGCAAGCCTGCTGCCAAGGAGCTCTCAGAGCGGCCGAACAGCAGGGAGGTCACTCAGAACCGCGGCACCCCGAGCCCAGCAGTGTTCTTCCAGCACCTCATATGCACGGGGAAGCTGGATAAGAAATCCAGACCCTGAAGAACTGAGGCCGAAAGAACGAATCTGTTTTGGAGGAAATGCAGCCAGAATGTTCCTTGGAAGTGAAGACAATGAGACGTGGTCTACTAGGGGCCTGGGATTAGGAAGAGCCAGACCCCGGGGAAAGATGCCATGGTTAAAGTGAAGGTGAGCAAAGAGGGAGACCCCTAGGGCGGCTGGGCCGACACAGTGACCTCAGTAATGAGAGCAGAGACTGTGAGGCCGGCCAGCGTCCAGCAGGGCTGCGCGTCTGTGCGTGGGGCTGTCAGGAAGTGGAATTCTCTCCATGACGTCTAACAGCAATGACAACATATTTTCAATATTCTGGACTGAATTAATTTTATTCTTCTTATTCCAGCTCTTTATGCATCATATGAAGAACCGAGTGGGAAATGTACTGCTATTCTTAGAGCCTTGTTTGTATCATTCTCAGAGTTTATTTTCTACAAATAAAATCTGTGGAGAACCAGGAGGTTGTGGCAGGGTTGGGGCAGAGGGCTGAGTGGTTTCAAATGTGGGACTTTCCTGTGACCCTAACCCAGAAGGACCCCATTCTGCCTGCATCCAGCCCCGCCGTCCACTGTCTGCTCCACAGTGGGGCACAGAGCCACCAAGGGTGACTATGCTCCGTCTGTTCCCACCAGGAGTGTCCTCCCACAGACACGGGACACTCACCAACCCAAATAGGGAGCTCAGGTCCCGGGCACCTGGTGGGGCACGGGGCTTGTCACTGGGGGATCTCCCAGAGCGGGCCATGCCTCTCTTGTTGAATAATGCCATGCTGTGATACTGTGGGAGGAACTGGAGACAGTCATCATGCCTCCACCACTTGTGGCTTGCAGAACTCTCACCAACAGATTTGCACATGGCCATTTTCTCAACTCAGCTTGCGCTGGTGGCCTTGTGGGTAGGGAGGTGCACTTCTAGTCTAAAGGCAGGCAGTTCAAATCCATCCTCTGCAGGAGGAGGATGGGCAACCCCCTTCCCTGACATTTACGGCCTTGAAGACTCTCTGGGGGGTGGGGGGGGCAGTCAGCTCTGGGTGGGCTCTGACTCAACAGCACACAACCTCTCAGGAGGTGTAGCCCTCTCCTGAAGGCCATGAAGACCTCATGAGAGGACTCTGCAGCGCTGACCATCCCTCCCCATCCATCTCACCCCTCTGCAGGCTTCAACCCTGAGACCGCCACTGTGTGTCCAAGGCCGTCAGCCTAAACAGACATCATCGGCCAAGCCAGACGGAAAGTCCCAGTCCTGTGACGTTAATCACTTTTCTCATGTAGTATCTTGGACACTTTACATTTTTATTTTCCTTTTTAAATGTGAAGACAAAACTAGGAAGATGCCTTTTGATTCTTATAATGCCAGGTTTCGGCAAGCTCTGGTGGCCTAATGGCAAGAAGCTGTACGGCAATCCCAGAGGTGAACAGTTTGACTCCAACAGATGCTCTGCTGGAGAAGGAGGGACAATCTCCTCCTGTACCAGTCAGATCCTATTTGATGGCATACAAACACCACATCATCATCATCATCATCATCATCATAATAGTAATTCAAGGTTTCTCTTGTAATTAGTTTTCTGCAAGTGAAGTCTGTTAGAAGGTGGACCACTGCATTTGAAGTTAGTCCATCAAGTGGGGCTGGGTCTCTCCTTTGGGATTCCTGGTGGCTTTGTGTACAGCTGGTGTATTTTTCTACCACAAATACGTGATAAAATTACTCAGTGGACCTATCTGGATTTGTGTTCTGATTTTATTTTTATTAACTTCTCTCCTGCAGTAGTTAGACTTGTAGATAAGTCACCTTTATGTTATAGACGCTCCTTTGTCCCCTCCGTGACTTTTAGGCAGCATTCCTGCATTCACCAGTTCCCGGGGAGAGATGGGTAATCTCCGCCCATGTGATCTGCAGCCTGAGAGCCCATTGAAGGGTCAGCTGTGCGTCAGTTCCAATTCGATGGCACACAACAACAACAACAACAACATTAATATATACACGTTAACATAAGAATGAAGAAGTGAGGCCTTTGAATTGTGAACTGGATTGCCGAAAGGACAGGCGGCTAGATCTGCTGAGCAGCCAGAATGCTCTTCAAAGGGAGGCTGGAGGGACACTTTGGGAGTGTTACTAAGAGAGGCCAGGCCCTGGGGAAAGACGGGGAGCTGGTTATGTAGAAGGAAAGACCCTGTGCGAGATGATGGCTCAGTGACTGCAGCCGTCAGCACCAGGGGGCAGAGGCTGTGAGGACGGCGCGGGCAGGGCACGATTGCACTCCACGCTTACAGAGGGTGACAGGGACTGCAGTTGAGTCTACGGCACCTAACAACATGATTAAAAAGATCTTATTCACATTCACGTGTTCACCAAAAGGTCTTAACATAAGCTGGCAGGGTAAGCATAGCCAGGGCCTGACCTGACTGGGCACTTCCTGTGAAGAATGTGAGTCACATTCAAAGGTCTTGGTGGGGTGCACCGTCTTCTGTCTCTCCTTGCTGTGAAGATATAGAGAGCTTACCACCTGTTACCCCAGAGAGGAGGACCTGTCAGACTCTCAGCCGGAGGCAAGGGCTAAATAATCATGGGACACACAGAGCGGCTGGAGCCACTGTCACAAGCACCTGACGGCTCAACTTGAGGTAAGCAGATCGAACCCACTGTGGGCCTTGATGACAAGGCCACATGACCTACCCTGACAATTCACGTCAGTGGAACAGACACAGCAGCAACACTACATGCAACTGTGTACAGCGAATGGTCTACACCTAAAGGATGACATAGAATCACCCTGTACATCACCTCCGTGCCATGGGGTCATCTGGTGACTTAGGGTGAATCCACAGTCAGTGTTTTTTTGTGTTGTTGTTTTTTTTTCACAGTCAGTGTTAACATCTACCTCCCTGGCCTAGGAGAATCTGAAGGGGAGGCAGCTCCCCAGGGTCCATGGACTCACCTGACCAGGACGGGTGTCTTGGGCACCTTCTTGGAGACCTTGAAGAAGCTCGTGTCCCCCTTGTTGTCAGTGAAGTACACACCGGCCACGCTGGTGACGAGGTTCCCGGGGAAGGAGAACAGGACCCTGTCATCATCGCCCTGGCCAGCCCAGTCCCAGGCTTGGCCCCCGATGAGCAGGCCCCCTCCCCGCTTCACAAACTGGACCAGCTTCTCAGTCATGGCCTTGTTGTAGGCGTTGATGCAATAAACACCCAGGGAGTCCTTGACTTCTGGCTCGATCTTGGACTCCATGCTGGAGCCCTCCAGGATTTTGGCCAAAGGTGCCAGGGACGGGTGAACCCCGATGGGGGCGCCTGGGGAGGAGCACAGCCAGCCCACCACGTTGAGGAGGAAGGGCGTCAGCTGGGCCTCCACCAGGTAGTCCTCGTGGGCCATGACCACCAGGCGGCCCCGGCCGTAGGAGGAGGCGGCGATGAGGACCTGACCCATGTCGTTCACCATCACAGGGAAGGCGGCTTCTCCAATCAGGAGCAGTTCACAGGGAACGGCATCTTCGGGGACATCCCAGCTTGTCACCCCATTCATGAGGGCCTCAAAGGCAGCAGTGGGGGTTGCCATCTCTGCAGCTTCTGCCGAAGGAAGCAGAGACTCAGTGGGGGGTGGGGGGAATGGATAAGGGACAAGCATCGCTCTTCCACCAATGAGCAGCCAGGCTTCCCACCAGGCAGGTGAGATGAAGGTGGTGAACGGCGCAGCACTGGTCAGGGGTATGTGCACCTCGGGGACCGCACTTCTCTGCCACAGGGGCCCATGTGGGGCAGTGTCCTCCCATCCAACCCACTTGACTCCCATTGCTGGTCCAACCCCACACGATGAACTAGGTCTTTAAAGAGTCTTGGACCTCAGAGGTCACAGAAGGGTCGTCCTCTGGGCTGGGTCTCAGCCCCAAACCTCCAGAAGCCATAGACCACTACAAACAATGACATGGTGGTTATCACTTTGGGACATGGGGACATCAGTGTCCCTGCTTCTTCACCAAGACACCCAGCCCCCAAGGCCACACGTGACCTCCAAGACCCAGGACAGAGCATCTCCAGAATCAGGACCCCAGGGCTCCTCACCCTCACTGACCATTGGGCAGCCCTGTATATGTCGCCTTCCTGGCCTGGGTGCCCACCACCTCTAATAACCCCACTTGGTTCCAGCCCCCCCTCCAGTGACAAACTTGGTGATGGATCATGATTACAGTCCAAACTCGGAGACAAGACCGGAGTTAGGGCTCACATGCAGGTAACCTGGCGGAGGTTACAGTCCCTATTCAGGTGGGCACAGTCAGGTGACAAGCTGTGATTTACAGCTCGTGCTCAGTGCAGAGCTCAGATTACCGCTCATGCTTGCTCACCAGGCTGTGGTCACAGTACACACTCGAGGGACTGTAGCCCACGCTCTGACGACAGTGACAGCAGGCTCTGGAGTGGCTGTAACTGCTGAGAGTGGGAGGGAGGGTGTCTGAGGTTGAAGCACACCTGACTGGGACTGGGTCCTCCTGGGCTATTGAGGAGGGCGTTGGCAGTGTGTGCAGAGGGCTGTCCTGAGGGTGACAGGGAAGAGCTGGCACTGACTCCCTCTCACAGCGGTCAGGTATTCACACACATACACCCCACCCCAAAGAGGGGTCAAATGTCTTTACATGGCCAATAAAACACAAACAAAAAGATGTTATTCTAGTATTCTTTGCTTTCAGCCAGGATCCATCTGACATCAGCAGTAATATCCCTGATACCATGGCCTCTTCTAAACCCAGCTTGAACTTCTGCCAGCTGTCTTTCAATGCACTGTTCTAGCTACTTTTGCAACATTAATGATACTGTTTGATAATTTCCATATTCTCTTGGATCACCTTTCTTAGGAATGGGAACAAATATAGATCTCTTCTGGTCAGTTGCCAGTCAGCTGTCCTTCAAATCTCCTAGCATAGACTGGTGAGCAGGCCTAGGGTAGCATCTGTTAGTTGAAACACGTCAATAGGTATCCCATCTATTCCTGGAGCCTTATTCTCTTGCCAATGTGTCCAGTGCAGCCTGAATTTCTTCCTTCTTCACCACTGGCTCTTGCTCATATGGTACTTCCTGAAATTTTTCAGTGTCAATCAATTCTTCTTGATACAGTGATTCTGCATATTCCTTCCATCTTCTTTTGATGCTTCCTGGATCATTCAAGGTATTCCCCATGCCATATCTCAGTATTGCAACTCGAGGCTTGAATCTGTTTCTCAGTTCTTTCAACTTGAGAAATGCCAAGTGAGTTCCCTCATGGTACTGACGAGCTCAAAAAAATGCAGAATTTCTTTAAGTCAGCTGCACTGATGGTAATGTAGGCCATATCACACTGGAGTCTGAGTTCTCAAATGCCTGTTACACACCAACCATTTAGAGGTGCATAGAATCAACATGCTAAGCCTTCATCAGAGACAGAAGAGGTGAGCGGTAACCCACCTCATGACCCGGCCTGAATCCTTCAGGTTGCTGCTGTGCTGTTACAGTTACAGATAGCAAACAATAAAGGAACAGGGAGCCTTGCACGATGGGAAGAATGAGGTTACAATGTGTAGACTCTAATCACGGCTATACAACTAGGTAGACTGACTGGTTGAAGGGATAACAAATTCTGAAAGGTAAACTTTCTGAAATAAATTATCTCCAAAATACTATGAGGAACCCCCAACTTGGTGGGCATTGACTCATGTTCAACCTACAGATCAGTGTGGAGAAACCCGGGCCACTGTATGACTGAGAGTCGCCTATTCCATGACGATGCTCTGGCTTCCTTATATTTCAGTGTTTCTTGGTATGTACATATGAAGTTCTAAAATTTGCTAAAATAAAAAAAAAACAAACCAAAAAAACACAAAACCAAAAAACAAACAACACACACAAAAGCAAAATAATAATAATAATAAAAAACCAAAGCAAACACCTAACAAAGAACCAAATCAGAACAGCAGAGGCTTTGTCACCACCACCCGCCAGTTCACTGCGTTCTGTGGGTTTGCAGAGATGGGACGTTCAGCACAGTATCCAGGTAGAAAGGCCTGGCACTCCACTTGTGAGAGGCTGTGGTTATTGTGTACCATTAGGTCAGAGCTGACCCCTAGCTGACCCTCTGGTGGGTCTTCAGAGGCTGTTAATGTCACAGGAGGAGGCTGCCCACCTTTCTCCCTTAGAGCAGGGCTGGATCTGAACCCCGTTCCCGTGGTTACCAGGACAATTCCTTACCACCTTCCTCCATCCTTCTTGGGAAGAGGCGAGTCACCAGAGCTCCCTTCTTCCACAGGTAGGAAGTGAAGGCCCTCAAAACCCACAGTGACCGCAGCAGTGGACCTGAGCAGTCCAAGGGGCTGAAACGGCTCGGACCGGGCAATGATCTGTGCTGCTCGAGTGACTCACTGCAGCTGACACGGACCCTCTCCCACTGGCCCGAAGGAGTCTTTATCTCCACCTGCCCTGGACTGAGGCGATGAGCAGGCTTCCTTCTCTGAATCAGGGGTGGGCTCTGCCCTTTCACCTACCGCCAGTGGCTCTGCTCTGACTTGAACCCAGTGTGGCCTCTTCCTACCTGAAAGGCCAGCTTGTCTGCTCCAAGGGCTGAGTGCAGACAGCTGGGGACGTCCTGGTGTCCTTGTTTCTGTGACGCTGCAGGGAGAACCGTCCTTGAACTGGTCCCTGTGTTCTCTTCCTGGGACCAAAACCATCTCCAAAGCAAGAAAGCAATCTAAGTCCACTTGCAACCCCTCCCAGAATGCAACCTGGATGACTCTCAACAAGACAGAAAGACAGAGACTGTAACAAGGGCTTGAGAAGGCTGGACACTGCGGGGCTGGCACCTAACAGCAACTGCTCTGATCCACAGCAGCTCCATGTCACAGCAGATTCGCGGGCTAGTGACCACTTGACCACTTTCTACAAGTGGATTACCAGGCTGCTCTTCTGATCCACTTTTGCGGATTTGAACCTCCGATCTTTCAGTTAGCGCCAGCTTAACCTTCTGCACTCCTAAGGCCTCCTGGATTCTCCCCCGGCCTGAAGTAGACCTTGCTTGTGTCTCTGGAGGCCCGCTCCGCATGTGGCTGTCCTTGGACCCACCCTCCCTTCCATGCTGGGTCACTCTGTCCATACCCCACGCCAGCCCTGCACAGTGTCATGGAGGGGGCTCAGTCCCAGAACCCAGCAAGGAGGCCTCTAGTCAAAACTCATGAGAGCCCCAAACCAACTGCTGAGCTCCTGGTCTCAAAGGGAGCCCTTCCTCCTCTGTCGGTGGATGGACACTGGGAGGAAAGTAGTCTGGAGCCCCGCACGGACCCCTTCGTGGACCCCGGAGCCTCCTGTTCCAGCCCAGAGCCAGCTCGGTGGGAGTGACGTCAGAGGAAGAAGGGGCTGGGGGTGGGAGGGGGATGGGGGCGTGCCGCCAGGCTTTCCAGCCACAGTCCACTAGTATAGTGGGGGTGGGGTGCTGTCTCCGCCCTCACCACTCCAGTCCAGGGGACAGTGCACTGGGTCACTGGGTGTGTGACCTCAGCCCCAGAGACCTTGTTTGCAAATGCCCAAGAGCAGCGACATGCTTGGTCCTCCTCCCGGGTGGTTCGGGCCGGTGTCCCTCTAGCTGGCCCTGTCCGCACAAAGCCAGCAGAGGAAATCCCCAACCCAGACAGCGGTGTTAGATCCCCACTGTGGCGGGAGGGGCTGATCAGACTCCACAAAGAGCCAGCTGCCCCACCCAGGCCAGCCCTCGAGCAGGGACCGGGCTGAGTCCCCCAAAGTGGTGGGTGCAGGATGATGAGGGCGGAGCGTAGAGGGTTCCCCCACCTCCTTGGAGGCGAGGCGGGGGCGGGGCGGCGCTTGGCCCGGGACAGCGCTTCTTTGTGTCCACAGCAGGGCCGCAGGGCCCCATCCTGCCGTGAAGGCTCCAGGGCGCACAGGCTCCAGGGCGCGGCCCGCTCCCAGACGCAGTGCTCCGAAGGCCAGGGAGAGCCCTGGGGTGCTGCCTCGTGTGCGGGGACCTCGGCCAGGGGCCGGGAGTGTGGGGACAGCTGAGACTCCCCTTAACACAAAACCGAAAAGCCTGCCTGTATCTGCATGGGGTTGGGGAAGGGCAGGCTGGATCAGGAAACAGCGAGCAATCCGGGAGGGCAGGGAGCCTGTGTTTATAAACCCTGCATTGCTGCACGCTAATCTAACCATTAAAAACCACAATCTACCCATCGGGCAAGTCATAGGTGTTGGTGGCGGCTCCGTGCGCTATACACTGGATCACAGCTGACTCCCCAGCGGGTTTTCAGAGGCAGTAAATCACACATGAAGAGACGGCCCATCCTTTTCCTGTGGAGCAGCTGGTGGATTCGAACCCCTGCCTTTGAGATGGCAGCGCAGCTCTTTACCAGATAGGCCACCAGAGCTCCCTAAACTATGGGCAGCTCAGCGCACTCAGCAAGTCCCCAGGCCCTACTTCCTCCTGGAAGGCCTTTCAGCTCCTCAGCTGACTCTGTTCTTCCCTGCGAGAATCCCCTTCCTAACCTGGCTGGGGGTTCAAACCCATGCGTCATTCAGCAGGAGAAAGACCTG